GCCTGACCTGAGGGTCCGTGCTGACCGTGGGTGCCGCTGAAACTGCGGGCTCCCCCACTTGACGGGGGTCAGGCCCCCTCCCCACTCACAGGTGCACCCCAGCGGAGCCGGCGCTGGAAGGGTGGGCCCCAGAGAGACGGCGGGGCCCCAACCCGCGGGCCACCCTGCACCCAAGGCCGCCCGCCCTGGAGTCAGGACGTGTCACCAGGAGGCGTGGCCAGCGGCCAGGCCAGGCCAGGGGCAGGGCCACCAAGTGGCAGCCTCTGCTGGGAGGAGCTGGGGCTGAGCGCCGGGGGTCGCCACGGGTGGCCTTGGCAGCCCCGCCCCCAGGAGCCCGCACTCACAGAGGCGCTGGACCCTGCGTGGACACTGCCTGCTCCCCACTCACTGCCCGTCCCTGGCCCATACGGCCCCGCTCTGTGCCTGCAGATGGGCGGCATGGAGTCGGTCATCACCGGGCTCATCGACGAGTTCCAGCTGCTGCACCGGCACCGGGAGCTCTTCACCCTCTTCATTGTCCTGGCCACCTTCCTGCTGTCCCTCTTCTGCGTCACCAACGTAAGTGCTGTCAGGGACAGAGCCAGCGCCCTGGACAGTCGTGGGCATGGGGGCCATGGCCACGCCATTGGCCACGGTGCAGTGGGACCGGGGCCGGAGGGACTTCAGCACCTGGCCAGGTCCCTCGGGCGGGCACCCGGTTGGCCTCCTGGGCGGTAGGTGGGCAGGGCGTGTGGGTCCGGCCATTCCTGTCCCTGGGGGTCTGCCAGGCTTGGCGCCTTGCATGGCACCAGACATTGGGGGAAGGTAGGGGGGCTTTGTTTTTGCGCAGAGGACAGACCCCAGCAGTTACCTGCGGCCAGCGCTGCCTGCAGGGGCTTGGGCGGTGGGAGGGTCCGGCCGCTGCAGGGGTGAGCCCTCCAGCGCTGAGTCCAGGGGCCCTTCAGGGCGGCATCTACGTCTTCACGCTGCTGGACCACTTCGCAGCCGGCACGTCCATCCTGTTCGGCGTGCTCATCGAGGCCATCGGGGTGGCCTGGTTCTACGGTAAGGACGGGCCATGGAGGGCTCCTGCGCCGCGCTGTCCCGGGGCTGCCGGCCCAGCCTGGGAGGCGCCTCTCGCCCCAGGAGGGGTCCGTGTGCTCCACTGCAGGGCGGGGCCTGGCTGAGGGGCGGGGCCTGGCTGAGGGTGGGGCCTGGCTG